AACAGCTGTTAAAGAAGGTAAGTACCGCGGCATAATAGACAACGAGCCAAACCCTCGGGAATGGCTCGCTGTCCCGCTAGTCGTGGACACCTTCGGAGCGTGGTGTCCTGGAGCACTCACGGAGTTGCGGCAAATAGCTCGCAAAAGCGCCCTCCGTGAAGACCGGACCGCTTCGGCCGCCTGCCAGGACTTCTTCCACCAATTGAGCTTTCAAGTAGCCCAGGGGGTGGCAAGAATAGTCATTTCATCTGGCGGGGCGCGACCGGACGAAGCGGTCCACCCTGGTGCAGGGGGTAGTGTCACTGCATCGCGGGTTTTTTTACCTGGTCGGACCTGCTTGCTAGCAGGCCAGCCCAGGTCGCAGTGAGACTGGCGTTCACTGTGTGCTGAAGAAGCATTTTTTTGGGCTCCCGCTCCGGAAGCAACCGGATACCGGCAGCCCCGCTGTACTAACATGTCGAGTACAGTGTCCCGCGCTCCAAAAAAAAAAAATCAAAAATGCGACCGCCAGACTGCGGCAGAAACTGTTGCGTTCCCCTGGAGGGAACGTCCAACAACCCACCAGGTGGCTGAAAGCGGCCAAGGATGCAGAGTACTTGCTCGCACTCCGGTCGGATGATTATCAACCGTCCGCCATCCGCTCGCATGCCCCGTATCCACCATGGGGGCCCAAACCCGACATGAGAATCCACCTCGATTTGGCTTCCATTGTCTCCATCAACGACAGCAAGGCGGTCAAGCTCGATCATACCCTCCGGGCGATCCGTGCGCTCCCTCCAGCTGATCTCACAATATGCACCGATGGCTCAATGACTGGTGTCGGCAAGCGTGCGGTAGGGGGCGTTGGGGTTGCCTTTTACAACAGGTCTGGTCGATTCCTCCGCGGTCTCTCCTATCGGATGATCCGTTGCGCCTCCAGCTGCCATGCCGAACACGAAGCGGTCATCCGTGCGGCGCTACAACTCCAGACCGTCCCGTTCAACACGGCCAAAGTGACGGTCATACACCTGCTATCGGACTCCTTGTCTGAAGTGCAGCGACTGCAGAACCCCCGTCACGTTTTATGCCGCAACTGGAGGCTGATGAGGGTGCTCGCTTCCCTCCCCCATATTCGTGTGCACGTGATGTGGGTCCCGGCACACTGTGGTTTGGTCGGAAACGAGAAGGCGGACGACCTTGCGAAGCGCGGCGTCACTTCGGGCACGGCACTACAGGTCCTCGACTACTGGGCTGCCTCCGACCTGCTGAAACAAGCGGTCAACTGCCCCGTGCTCACTCGGGACTACATGTCTCATCCGCATTACCGTTGCACTGGTGGTCACCGACCTCTCGTGGACAATCGGTGGAATCGGCTCACTCAGGTAGCGGTTTCGCTGCTTCGAGTCAACCAGTCCCCAAGCGTTCACCTGAGAATGCAAGATTTCTGCGGGCACCTCTGCGCTGAGTCATTTGTCCCCGGACTGTCGGCATCCAATAAAGGGCACTGCTGGGCTTGTGGCTCCGGCTTCTCCTACGAACACCTATTCACAAAATGCCGGGTCACAGCCAGATACCTCGACCTTCTCCGTTGGCCGAGGCAGAAATGGACCTTGCGGGACATACTGGGTAGGTATCCCCTGACCGCTCTCCTGATTCTGCGCTTCCATCAGCTTTACGTTGGTGGATCCTTCTACAAACTCACTCAGTGATTGGATATTTTACAATGTTCTCAGTGATCGGATTACTGTTAGTTCGCCGCTTGTACTCACGAAACGGATTCTGTTAATGGATTGGTCACAATCTGGTACTGTCTGAATGCTCCTTCTCCCCCTACGTTGTAGACTCAGTTCTGGGCAACACCCCTTCTCTGGCTGACCTAAGTTCTAGTCCCTCCACATGTCCTCCCAGCCTGCGTTCCATCAACTTTTCGTTGGTGGTCCTTCTACATAACACTAAGAGATTGAATTGATTATTGTCGCTGCCACTACAATGTTCGAATCTGATCCGACTGACGATCTTTACCGACAGACAATTTAGCAGCCTAAGGGTAAGCTATTCTAACAACGACTATCTGGCGATGGTGGCATGAGTCACGGTCGGAGTTCTACTCCATGCACAGGAAGAGTCCGTCCTTCTTCTTTCCTAGTTTGACAAAAGGAACAAAAGAACGACTTGCCCGTACAAGTAAATGCAGTTCTCGCCCCCTGCATGTCTTCCGTAGTTGCTTACTCAAAAAAAAAAAAAAAAGCAGCTTGCGGCCCGTGGCCGTAGCGAGGCCCTCCCCGGGCGTTATCCGCCGCGTGCTGAAGAAGATGCCGAAGGGCACCGCCGCTGGGCCGTCCGGCCTCTCTGCGCAGCACCTGCTCGACCTGTGGGACGTCTCCGGGTCGTTCAAAGAGGCAGTGGCGGACGCCGTCTGGGCCCTCTCTTCCGGCAGAGTGGCTTCAGCCGCCCGACCGTACCTCTTCGGGGCGAGGCTAGTTCCGCTGGTCAAGAAGTCCGGCGGGATCAGGCCCATTGCGTGTGGAGAGATCCTGCGACGGGTGGCCGGCAAGGTCCTCGCTTCCGACCGGGCGATCAAGGACCTGGGAGCGAACGTCCTTCTGCGGAGTGGGCAAGTCGGAGTCAGCGTTAAGGCGGGGGCCGACGCTGGCGTGCACGCCATCCGCAGGGTTGCGGCCCTGTACCGCGACAGGGACGTGGTCGACAGGGGCATCCTGCAGATCGACTTCGCGAACGCCTTCAACACGCTGCGGCGGGAAGCGATCATCTGCAGTGTCAACCGACACGCCCCCCAGCTGTTGGGGTACGCACTAGCGGCGTACGAGAAACACTCCGCGCTTGTGGTGGGCGACCGGGGTATCTCCTCCCAGTGCGGAGTCCAACAAGGGGACCCCTTGGGACCGCTGCTCTTCAGCCTCGTCATGCACGATGTCGTCGTGCCGCCGAACCCCGGAGAGCAGCCACCCGTCCCGGCGGCCCCGGCTTCGTCGCAGGCGCCCGTCGAGTCCGCCCCCGCGTCGCTCGGCCAGCCGGAGCCTCTCGATGCCGCCGGGGGGCGGCCCACCCCTCCAGAACCGGCTCAGGCCCCAGGTTCGGGGGACCCAGCGGTGCCACCGCCGCCGCCGGTGGGGTCCCCGGCGGCCCCGAGGGCCACGGATGGCGCGCTGAGCCAGGCGGGGCTTGACCTCCTGACGTTCTTCCTGGACGACGGGGCGGCTGGGGGTGAGCTCGACACCCTCGGTCACTGGCTGCAGGGCTTCGAGGACAGAGCGGCCGCGGTCGGGCTCAGTCTGAACCGGGGGAAGTGCAGGCTGTCCGTTGCCCCCGGCGCCACAATCCCCGAGGCCCTGCAAGGCATCGAGACTTTTCCGCTGGACGATATCCAGCACCTCGGCGTCCCCTGCGGTTCCCCCGAGACGATGCGCGCCTTCGTGGAGGAAGCGGCCAAGAGCGCCGAGCGGAAGATGCGGATGATAGCCTCCCTCCCCGACGCACATGTGGCTCTGACTCTGCTGAAGTTCTGCGCCGGCTTCGTCAGCGTCGTCCACCTCATGCGCGCTGTGGGGGCTGTCTTCGACTTCGCGTGCATCGATCAGGCCACGCAGTCTTGCCTGGCGACGATCACGGGCATCGAGACGGACGCTTCCGCCTGGGCTCTGGCTTCCCTTCCCGTCAGGCTCGGTGGCCTGGGCCTGCACTCCTGCGCCGACACAGCGGCGATCGCGCACATCGCGGCTACCTTTGACGGCGAGGCTTGCCTCCCGTCCCTGGTGACCCCCTACGTGCTGCCGCACGCCATGCTTCTGGACGAGGACGACACTTTCCTAGCGTCCCTCGAAGACCCGCGCCTTGCACCCTTCGAATCCGTTTTGGAGAAGATCCAGAACGTTCTGCAGGCACGGGATAACTACGGGGGACGTGGACAGAAAGTGTGGTCCGCGACAGTTCATGACGAGCGACGCAAGGCCCTCCTTATCTCGATGACTGAGGAGCTGGGCAGGTCAGGCCGGCTTCAAGGGTCGGCGCTGGCTCTGAAGCAGGTCCAAGTCCGGGCGCGGATCCAAAGCTGCTCCGCCCAACATGCGTCCGCTTGGCTTTATGGCAACGCGGAGGCGGACCCCAGGCTGTGGCTTTCTCCCGCGGAGCTCGCAGTGGCCATCCGGCTTCGGCTGGGGCTGCCCATCGCCCCCATGCCGAGCATCTGTCGCCTCTGCGGGACAGGCTCGGCAGACGTCGACGGAGTGCATGCGCGAAGTTGCTTCTCCGGCGGGCGCCGGACGAGAATGCACAACGCACTCCGCGATGTCATCGCTGACTTCGCCCGCCGTGGCTTGCTGGCCCCGGCGGTCGAGCGCCCCGTGTTTTCGAACACGGAGCGGAAGCGCCCGGACATCAGCTATGTCCGGGACGGCACCACCGTTGTGCTGGACGTCGCCGTCACCTTCCCCCTGCAGCCTTCGAACCCCCAGTACGCTAAGCGGGCGGCGGAGAAGCCAGGGGGGGCGGCGACAGCCTACGCAACAGCTGTTAAAGAAGGTAAGTACCGCGGCATAATAGACAACGAGCCAAACCCTCGGGAATGGCTCGCTGTCCCGCTAGTCGTGGACACCTTCGGAGCGTGGTGTCCTGGAGCACTCACGGAGTTGCGGCAAATAGCTCGCAAAAGCGCCCTCCGTGAAGACCGGACCGCTTCGGCCGCCTGCCAGGACTTCTTCCACCAATTGAGCTTTCAAGTAGCCCAGGGGGTGGCAAGAATAGTCATTTCATCTGGCGGGGCGCGACCGGACGAAGCGGTCCACCCTGGTGCAGGGGGTAGTGTCACTGCATCGCGGGTTTTTTTACCTGGTCGGACCTGCTTGCTAGCAGGCCAGCCCAGGTCGCAGTGAGACTGGCGTTCACTGTGTGCTGAAGAAGCATTTTTTTGGGCTCCCGCTCCGGAAGCAACCGGATACCGGCAGCCCCGCTGTACTAACATGTCGAGTACAGTGTCCCGCGCTCCAAAAAAAAAAAAAAAGCGTGCGGGTGTCGTATAGTGGTTAGTACACCTCGTTGTGGCCGTGGAGACGGGAGTTCGATTCTCCCCACCCGCTTTTTCCGAGACTACTGGGGGCAGTGAGGTTGGGACAATTCCCAGTCAGTGTGGGTCACGTCGGCCACCCTGGGCCTGGCCGCACCCCTCCAAGCCAACGCCAGAGCCAGCATCGTATCGGTGTGCCGCTCCCGCGCGATGGCCTTCGCCACGTCCTTCTCTGTCGCCGGAAGAGCCTGCTTCTGCGGGCGCAGTGCACCCTGCCTCTTGAGCGAGCGCTCGAAATCGCGCAGGGCCTGCGAGTCCAACGGGACCCCTACCCGCTTTTCCGCCGACTTCACGTTCTGCACGTACTGCAGCGCTGTCGACATCGAGATCCCGGGTATTTCTTTCGAGCCGTGTAGCTTCCGGCTTACCCAGAGGATCGTTGCTTCCGCTTTCGACAGCTTTTCCCCGGTAGCTGCCTCCCACTCGCCTCTGAACTCCAACATGCGGCGGTGCGCAGTGTGAGACTTAGCTAGCTATTTGGCCAGCTAGCTATTTTTAGCTATTTATAGCTAAAATAGCTAAAATAGCTGCCCAGACGACTGAAAATATGTTCACGTCTTTTTCGTCAAAAAACCTCAGGAAGGTGCCCAAAAATGCAAAAAAAATGCGACGAAACCAGATTTTCTGCCTCGTTCTCGTTTTCAGAGTCGCCCAACCCCCCCCTGGTACCCCCCCCGCCCTCTCCGGGCCGTGTCACGGCATGTGCAGGGTATCGATTTCCTGGCTGGTGACATTTTCCCGCTGGTCCATGTAGCAACCCTTTTTCGACGAGTTTTTGCTCGTTTTCAGCTCCGATGAAGAGATCCGTGAAGAATAGACCCGGAGACGAAAAACTATGTGCGTGGTTCGGGGCCCTTTACAAGTTGCAGGGCGCCGGGCGTGGAAGCCGCCACGTGTTTCGATCCCCTGGTTGGCGACATTTTCCCGCTGGTCCACATAGCAGACCTTTTCCGACGAATTTTTGCTTGCGAACAGCTCCGATGAAGAGATCCGTGAAAAATAGACCCGGGAATCAAACACTACGTGCGTGGTCCGTGGGTTCTTACAGGATGCAGAGCACCGGGCTTGGAGACCACCTGGTGTGCATTGAGCAGGACGGGTATCGATCCCCTGGTGGTGGCATTATGTTGCTGGTTCACGCAGCAGACCTTTTTCGACGACTTTTTGCTCGCGATCAGCTTCGATGAAGAGATCCGTGAAAAATAGGCCAGGGACCATCCAGTATGTGCGTGGTCCGTGGGTTCTTACAAGATGCAGAGCACCGGGCTTGGAAACCACCCGGTGTGCATTGAGCAGGACGGGTATCGATCCCCTGGTGGTGGCATTATGTTACTGGTTCACGCAGCAGACCTTTTTCGACGACTTTTTGCTCGCGATGAGCTCTGATGAAGAGATCCGTGAAAAATAGACCAGGGACCATCCAGTATGTGCGTGGTTCGGGGGTCCTTACAAGATGCAGGCACCGGGCTTGGAAACCACCCGGTGTGCATTGAGCAGGACGGGTATCGATCCCCTGGTGGTGGCATTATGTTACTGGTTCACGCAGCAGACCTTTTTCGACGACTTTTTGCTCGCGATGAGCTCTGATGAAGAGATCCGTGAAAAAGAGACCAGGGACCATCCAGTATGTGCGTGGTTCGGGGGTCCTTACAAGATGCAGGCACCGGGCTTGGAAACCACAGGTTTGCAGTGGGAAGGACAGGAATCGATCCCTGGCTGGTGACATTTCTTGGCTGGTCCACCGTGACTCCACGTGGCAGACGTTTTTCGAATTCCTGCTCGCGATCAGCTCCGATGCGAGAAATGGACCCGGAAATGAAAAGGATTGTTTGTGGTGCGTCGGGTTTCCCCCCAGGCACTACGATACAAGTCTACCAGCATTGTTAGCAGAGACTGCCAGAGTGCAGCAAGCCAGACCCAGGTCCAGTCCTACTGTGCAGTAGTCTACAGGGGGGAAGCCCGATGAAGGGGGGGGGGGGGGTAGCACGGTGTGAACCTCATGCTGATCATCTGCCTGAACAATCCCGGTAAACTGTGGAAAACGGCACAAAATCCGAGAAAACAGTCGGAATAGTGACATTTCCATTGAAAATGCTCAGTCAGCTATTTTAGCTATTTTAGCTATTTTCAGCTATAGCTAGCTAGCTATAGCTAGCTATCAGCTAGCTATAGCTAAGTCTCACACTGCGGTGCGTGGACTCCACCCCGCGCCATGTCGAGGAGGCGAGAGCCCGCGACAGGTGCTTCTCCGCATCCAACCGAACCTGCCTGACCTCCCGCTTCGAGAGGGGTTTTTCGACCATGCGGGGCCGCCCCTTGGGCGGACCTCCGGACTCCTTGAGTCCCGTGGCCGGCGGGTCCGGACAGCGAAGAGCTGTGTAGGCCAAAGGCGCCCACTTCACCACTAGTGGGCTTTCGCCCCGCCCCTCTTGCTGTCGCCACCCGGTTTGCGGTGCCTGCGGGGGGGGGTGTGGCGGGTTTGCGCGTTTGAGGGGGCTGGTCGGTTGTGCGTTTGGGGGTGCTGCGGGGGTTCGTGCGTCTGGGGCGGTCGAAACCGGTGCTTTCGTGCGTGGGCGTGCGCCTTCTCTTCCGCCCGTGCCATGAAGAGGGGCACCTCGTCGTCTACCGTGAGGGCCCTCTCGAACACCTCGGCCGACTCCCAGTCCCCCTGGACCACGCCTCTCTGCAGCACCTGCAGGCGCCCCACCGCTCGCTCCGCCAGCTTCTGGAGGACCTCCTCCGCGTCCTCTAGAGAGGAGCACCGGCCTACTGGGGGGGGCCTATTACAATTGAGTTCAATTGTAATATAGGTGCCCGAATCGGCACCCGCGCCCGGGGCAGGTACGCTTTCCTGTTCACCCCCAATACCCCAACCGCTCTTTCCACCCCAAACCAACACAACAGACAGCACAGACGACGGCCGCGCCAGCTCGGCGCAGCCAAGGCGTTCAGGCCGCCGGGCCGTTCGCGGACGACGACCTGCCGGAGGGCCCGCTGCTCCCGCAGGTGCTGGCCGCCCGGCGGGAGGTCCGCCGGGCGCAAGAACGCGCGGGGGAGCTGGAAGCCCAACTCCTCCGCGAGTTCAACAGCTGGGCCCCCACCCCGGTGGAGGCTCTTTGCCTCGTGTGCGGTAGGCTCAGCACCACCGCCGGGGAGGAAGCCCAGCACCGGGCCCGGCATCGCAAGGATGCCGTGACCCAAGGCCGCGACTCGCTCGTCGTGGCCCATGTGGCGGTGGGAGACGGGGGCCTCCGCCACATGCGCGAGCTCTGCCTGCGGTGGCAGGCGGAGAGGCCCCAGGCCCAGCCGGCTCTGGGTGGCCCCCAACAGGGCTTCCCGTTCGCGGCACCGGGCCCTTTCGGGGCCCCGATCCAGCCCGTCCTGCAGGCGGGCCCCGCCGCCCCTCACCCTGCTCCGAGGGGGGCGGAGCAGGGTGAGGAGGCCGCCTTCGAGCGCGAGGCTTCCATGGCTCCCGCTTGCGACCGTGTCCTGTTCGTCAGCGCGTCGAACAGGACGGCGTCGTCCCCTGCTTCCCCTCGGGACGGGAGCCTGCCTCCGCCTGCGTCCCGGCCCAGGGCACTGTCGCTGCCCGGGGACGCGGGGGTTCCTGCCGGGCTACTGGGGGGGGCTAATTACTATTGAACCGTATATTACAATTGAACTGTATATTACAATTGAACTTTTTTTTTGGGAAATCGGCGCACTCCAACCGTATATTACAATTGAACTGTTTGTGTGGTCACTGTTACACTACGATTGTGCACAAGGCCTGGCATTTCTGCTGGCTTTTTTTCTGTTTTGACTAATGGCATGATAGACCACTGCAGTGAAAAGAATTATTTGAGGAACAATACGAAATTTGTAACAAGCATGGGGCTGCCAAAAGTTTTGGGCATGATCGTTTCGCTGTTTCCGTTGCTGTTGGCGTGGCCCGCACGCGCAAATTATGCCGCTATGTCGGCCGACGGTTGGGACGAGAATGCCTGGTTATCCACCAGGTCGTTCCGCAGTGCGGTTGTGGCGCTTTCTTCTGTCGGCGGCCCGAAAGCGAGTGGTTTTGTGACAGGAAGGGGTGTCAGTGGCATGAAGACCAAAAAGTTGGTCAGGATGCTGCTGCAGGTGAGCGGTCCTGGTTTTGCAAGGACTGCGACTTCGACTACTGTGACGAATGCCTCCCGGAGTCAGTAAGATGGGGGCAGCCTCAGTAAAACCACGATGCTCTAAGACAAATCTCAATGCTCCTTTTGAACAAGCCATCAGATTTCAGCCCTTTTGTTTTCTTCTTTAGCATAGCCAGCCTCAAGTCAAGAGGCACCTCATCAGTGGCATCACCGAGCGCTTTTGTCCATCCCTTTTTCCGTTTGCGTCCGCCGACAGCCCTAAGTTGAGAGCGACCGACGACATTTACACGAAAGACGTGCCCAGTGGTCGGAGGAGACATCGCGATGTAATCCGGAGGCCGCGGGTTCCTTACCTGGCACCAGGCCGGACCAAGACAACCAAGTTACCAGCCAATTTCTACCAGGCAAACTGCACTTCAATTGTAATATACTAGTGTTTTTGGGGGGGGTCTGAGACCCCCCAATTCCACGCCGTGTATCGTTATATTACAATTGAACTCAATTGTAATTGGCCCCCCCCTGTAGGCGGGGCAGACCAGGTCGTCCCCGCCGCCTCGTGCGGCGAGGGCGACCCGGTGGGTCCTGCCGCGCCCCACAGGGAGGCCGCCCCGGTCGCAGCCGGCGCAGCTCGCGACGCGGCAGACCAGGCCGGTTCCCCCGACGCTATCGAGGGGGCCGACCGGGTAGAACCCGCGGGAGCGCCGGCGGGGCGGGCGGGCGACAGGGCAGCCGACGCCCAGACCGCGGAGCGTAAGCTCCGGCGGGAGCGCCGTCGGTTCCGTCACGCTGCGGACCTGGCTGCGAGCGGATCCTCGGCTGCCGAGCCTTTCCCGGACTCCGACGAGTCGGACTCTGATGGTGAATCGGAGTCGGGCGACGTGGGGGGCCGCGG